CATAAATCACCGCAGCTAACTCTAAGTTGTGGGTCGGGTAGTTCTTCTTATGTTTTCTTAGTTGTCTAGAAGCATAAGCCACAACCTTACCATGATGCATCAGCACACAACCCAATCCAATGCCTGAAGCGTGGCAATAGATAACATAACCATCGGTCCCTTTTGGGAGCGTTAGAACCGGTGCTGGAGTTAATGTGTCTTTTAATGCCTGGAAACTTTGTTCACGAGCATCGGCCCATTGAATCTTTGCTCCCTTCTGAGTCAACTTACATGGCTATTCTAATTTTTTTTACAATTTAGGAAATTCCCCTCTTCGGAGGCCCAAACTTCATCCTTTATCCATCATAATTACGCCCTTATCCCACTATTAGGGTAGTATTTCAACTATTCTAAACATTACTAGTCTTAGATTCCTTTAAGTCCTTTCAGGCCATACTGAGCCTTCTATAACTTAGAGAAACAATGAGCTCTCTCATGAGCTTACCCCAAGAACTTATCCATTCTTGCCACCTTTTCACTTATCTTTTCTTATCCTTCCTCCTATCTTCCTATAACCTTGTCCCTCTACCATACTTTAGCTTGAGACCTACATATATCTATTTATACTTATTCACAACCTTTTTTTCAACCTGCTTGCACCATAGATTTCCTTATGTTATTCCGGAACATCAAGCAAGACACCACATACCACTTTGGTCAAATGTGCTTAGAAGAGAAGAAAATTTCGTTACAAGTTTCTTGTAATAACCTGCCAAAAGAAGCTACAAACCTTTATCGGTGCTGTGGGTTTAGACAAAGTCTTCACTGCCTTAGTCTCTTGTGTATCCACTCAGATGTCCTTACCCGGAATGATATGGCCAAGGAAAGCTACATAGTTCAACTAGAGTTCATATTTAGAAAATTTTGCATACAACTTCCCTTCTTGTAAAACTCTGAGCACAGTACGCAGATGATCTGCATGCTCAGCCTCTGAACGAGAATATACCAATATATCGTCAATAAATACAATTACAAACAGATCTAAAAAAAGGCCTGAACACACGATTCATTAAATCCATGAATACTGCTGGGGCATTGGTCAGACTAAACGACATAACCCGAAACTCAAAGTGCCCATATCTGGTCCTAAATGTTGTCTTCGGAATATCTTTTTCCTTAACTCTTACCTGATGATACCCGGAGCTTAGGTCTATCTTTGAAAAACACTTGGAACCTTGCAATTGATAAAATAAATCATCAATTCTCGGGAGAGGGTGCTTATTATTGATCGCCACCTTATTCAACTGCCTAAAATTAATACACATTCGTAAAGAACCATCCTCCTTTCTTACAAACAACACAGATTCTCCCTACTGTGACGTACTAGATCTAATAAAACCTTTTTCCAAGCAAGCCCCTTAGTTGTTCCTTTAACTCGTTCAGCTCTGTAGGGGCCATTCTATAGGGGGAATAGATATTGGATGAATATCTGGTAGTAGTAGGTCAATGACAAACTTAATTTCTCGCTCTGGAGGAAGATCCGGAAGCTCATCGGGGAAAGCATCCTGAAATTCATTTACCACATGGATGGACTGAATGGTTGGTAACTCTACTTCCACATCCCAAACCCAAACTCAGTGATAAATATGTCCTTTTCTGATCATCTTCTTTGCCTTGAGATAGAAGATAAATTTACATTTTGGTGATGCAGTATTACCTTGCCATTCTAAAACAGGCTCTCTTGGAAACTGAAATCAAACCATCTATGATCTACACTTGATGTTAGCATAACAAGAGGCCAATCCATCCTTACCTACTATAATATCAAGTCCTACCCAATCGAACACCCCGTATCTTATCCTTGTTTATTATCAAATCTATCACGGGCTACTTCGGGCCACATCCATATATATAGGTAACAATATTAAAATATAACTTGCATAACTAATTTATAAAAAAGTTTATATACATAGGGGTCGATTAGGCCGTAGACATGTCATACCTAAAACTATATACGGGATAATGTCTGCAAAACCTCTAAGTAGGCATAACCATAATATATACAAGTCGGGATGGGGCTCTCTACGTCCTCATAAAACAACCTAACACATTTAAAACCCTAACTTGGTAATATTCTAAGAAGAGGTGGAACTCACCAACCAAAAACTAACACTTGGAGGAAGTCTACAATAGAGGGTCCTTGCCTCGTCCTATATAAGAACCTCGATCAGACACACTTCGAAGCGAAACCTTCATATCCTTAGTGGTTACCTTCCTCCTCTTGGCCCGACTACTATCCTCTTCCTCTGCGTATCCCATAACATACATTGGCGAACCTTGATTGACGGACTCCCAAGACTATGGACTATCTGGAACCTCAGAAGAGTTGGTGTCCGCAAATGCCATGACATAATTTTGAGCCTGAGGGAAACCCGGTTGTGCCAATCCATGCATTACTCCCCTCATACCCTGATCAATGGGTTGTGATAATGAAACTAAGGGCCTTGGCAAGGGCGAAACTCCTCTCACCCCATCTATTGTCAGAATGGTCGAAACAACTCGAATGGATGACTCATATGGATCCTCGGATGGATCCTCCTAAATAGAACCCATGATCTCCGATGGGTCTAAATCCATAGTATAACTTATCTCTCTTTCTAACACCTTCGTAGCCTTCTGACCTGTGCTGGTGGCTGTTGTCTTCGGAGGCATCGCTGAAAACGTAATACATCGTTAGGAACATGAATGCTTATATCGCACAATCTAAGATAAAAAGAAAGGATAACATCCTATATGTCATGTAGCCTCATGTCTATAAGTGTGGTGCACGACACACCCATAAATAAGACTCTACTAGACACAGTCTGTAGATAACCCTAGGATAGAACTGCTCTGATTCCACTTTTGTCACGACCCAAACCGATGGGCCGCGATGGGTTCCTAGGTCCTATCTGTCAAACACCCATAAGTATACGTCTAAGATATGAACATGTATAACATCTGTTGCATTACAAAAATAACATACGTGAAAGAAACCTGTCATCAAGGCATATATACGTATACAGGCAGAATACAGTGGGCGAGCCGGCAAGGCTACTATAGACAATTATACATCCAAAACTAAAAGTCGACAAGGCCACATACAACCTAACTAGACATACTGTCTACAGACCTCTAATAGAAACATAACTGTANAAAAATAAATATGTACAAGACACAGATGAAACACGGAATACAGGAATACCTTTAAACTTGAATAAATCTGTAAATTTTGAAACGTTTATAATATCATGCACATGCGTATAAATGTCGTGCCATGCATATGTATGTGTGTACATAATATCATCAAGCCACTGAGGGCATCCCATCATATCATCTCGCCCATTGTATTCTGCATGTATACGTACATATGTATTGATGGCAGGTTTCTTTCACATATGTTATTTTCGTAATGTAGCATATGTTATACAAGTTCATATCTTAGATGCATGCTTTTGAGTGTTTGACAGATAGGACTCAGGCACCCATCGCGGCCCATCGGTTTGGGTCGTGACACTTACACTCCAAGTATTCCGTCTTCGTCCTACTCAGTTTGAAACCCTTAGACTCAAGAGCATTGTCTCCAATCCTCCAGCCTCTCGTTAACGCGACTCATCAATCAGAATTATGTCATCGGCGAATAGCATGCACCTAAAGTTGATCAGTGAGTGGTTGTAATAAAGTCAACTTGGTAAAGTTGAGAGATAATGCTGGGCTACTTAAAGTAAAAAGTAAAGTAGAGATACATTACTGTAAAAATAGCACGGGTTAGCCAGTTTTTGGACTGGTCATTCAAAATAGCCAGCATTTGCAAAGTCATTAAAAAATAGCCACTATTTTGTTGCAACACGAGGAAAGTTCCATCATAATATACCGGAGATCGGTGTACCTGTGTATGAACTTCCGGCATATTATGTTGGACCGGTATATTATACCAGATTTCCAGTATATTATACTAGAAGTCCAGTATATTATCCTGGAGTTCCAGTATATTATACTGGAGTTCCAGTATATTATGCTGGGGTATTTTCCGGATTTTGAACAGTATTTTCGTTCAGATTTATCTTAACATGAAAAATAGCAAAATTTCGATTACTTTTGAAACTGTGGCTATTTTTAAATGACCACTTGTAAATCTGGCTATTTTTGCATTTCTTCATATATTACTTCTTCTTTTTTCTGTTTCAATTCAGATAAGTTGGACAAATTTACAAGAATTCATGTGAGCTCGAGTTAAACCTTTTTTGGTACTAGTGCATGACCAGTCACCTGTACTGGAAAAATCTAACAAGTTTCCTCTCATTTTCACAATTGATAACATTGTAAGTATTTTGGTCATGTTGGGTAGGTTAACCCATCGTTTAGCCCATCTAAACCGAAGTAAATTTTGGGTTGGGTTAGACATTAACCCATTAATTAGTGCAGTCCATCTTGACCAACTCAAACTCAGCCCAAACAGCCCACCTGTCACACCTAGGTAGGATGAAAGCAAGCAATAATCCTGAAATAATCACGCGTCAAGAAGCTTCGTATAGTCTGCTTGAAGCTGACCATAATCAGATTTCTTTTGAGAAACTTAGCTGGTGTGCTCGTGATGTTCAAGGGCTAATGATTAGTGTACATGATTTATTGCATTAATACATGAATTAATTAATCTAGATAAATGCCCGATGCCCCGATAAGCATTGTAAAAATTTGTAGTAGGTATTGCGAGACGTACCAACGGAACAATTTTTTTAATAAAAATGGACACGATCAAATTCAGTTAGATTTGAATTGATATTAAAAGCACATATTCATTGTAAAGATGCGTGCGAGCGTGTACTGGGTCTGCATATAAAAATGAGTATACAGTAAGGGAGAAAAATGAAAGCAATTAGCAACATAAAAAATGAAATATTTGTTGACAAAACTTGTTCCCAACTAGTTTGGGATTGAGGTAAACAGTGGTTGTATGGGAAATAATTGTGACAAACATGATACACAATTTAAAGGTTGGTAGATATTTCCTTTGAGTATAACAGTGGAAAAATTGTATGATGGACTTTAAACTTTTTACAAATATTAAGTTGACTTTGTATGTACTAAGTTGTCTTTGTATCACTTGCTTCTAATACTAAGGGGACATCAATTTCAACATTTGGGCCTAAATGTTTACATAACAAAATTCACTTATAAAAATTCTCTAATTCCATCTTTAAACCCTCCAAAATACCTGACCCCTAATCTTCGCAGCAAATTTCACGAAGTCACGACAAACTCGAATGTACCCGTTCATCCAAGAATCAACTGTCCAAGCGCCCTTCCCAATGTAAAAGGGAATGACAAATGTGTCTACACCATACCCCGTAAGGAGAAGGGCATGGCGTTGAATTTTGTCTGAACCCGGAACCAAAATGGGGAGCTCAACTGGCCTAGGGTACCAAACAGCCTAATACAAGAAACAAGAAACAAGAAACAAATAATAAAAAGGAAAAGAAGAGTCTCAAGCTGTTAATTTTGTAAAAAGATAAAATATTAAAGTTTTACCATTCTGTGATGGGTAAGCAAGGATGGATAAACATCAATTGAAGTAGTAACAGGCTCAAGATCCAAAGCATCAGTCACTTCATACTCCTCTAGATACTCCCAATCCGAAATTCCAATTTTCGGGAAGCCTTAAAACACAAGTGTAAGCAAATGTCGACGAGTCTTTATAAATATAACCAAATCACAAATATAACAAATTCCAAATTACCTTATTCAAAGGACACATGCATGGTCGTATGTAATGGCCAAAATAGGGATACTCAGTCTCCCTATGCAATCCCTTATCCATAATGTAAGGATAAGCATGTTTAAGCAGGAGGGTAGAATTTGCCCTCGAAACACACTCCACCAGTTCAGACTTTGAGAAGTCAATAGCATCATTATCTGCAGGGGTGACTCAAGGGGGAGGCTAAAGCCCCCTAAATTTTGGGGCCCCGAAAATATTTTTAGTTGTGGATTTACTATATCGCTTAGATAATATTGAAGTTTATAGAAAAAAATAATACTAAATCCTTATAAAAATAAAAAGAAAGACTATCTATTTTTAACAATAGAAATATTTTAGAACTTTGAATTAAGATACTCAAATCTTCATATTGTAAATAATATTTTTTTACAATAAGATCCAAGATAACCAAATGTAAATACGTGGCTAACATCTTATTAACTTGAATTTTCTTACCAATGGGCATATTAATATTATATTTTATAAGATAACTACACTATATACAAAAAAAAGGAACCAAGGTAATATTAATATTATTTTTGCAAGATAACTATACTATAGATAAAAAAAATCAAGGCCCCATGTTAAAATTTGGCTTTAGTTCACGAGTTTTATTAAGACGTCTTTGATTATCTGTTGGATACTCTAAAGCCAACTTGACACTAAGATGTGCACAAACAACAAAAGCAGAGCAAAACGCTGATACAAGGAGAAACAAAGACAACATATTCTAAATAATTACATTACACAAAACAACCATTCACCAGCCTTGAAAGTAAAAAAAGAAGGATAAAATCTATCAGTCCTGTTATAGCAGGGGACTCAAATGCAATAAATCATAAAGAAAATTATCCTTTCCCAATACTGGACAAAAAGATAGACGAATTACATGGTTCTAAAATCTATTTATGAAAAGGAATTATAGGCAGTGATATAAACAATTTAAAAATGGAGGCACTGCCAAATTTACTTCATATCAAAAAGAGAAAAAGAAGAAGCAAAAAGAAGACCACTTACGCAACACATATTGGTCCCCAACAGTCGTCATAACTCTTGGACCAGTGTATTAACGATCAGCCTAGAGTTCAACAAAAATAGATTCGTAAAATGATGCAACAACAAGAAAGAAACCAAATAGCACAAATAACAGATAAAAAGTCAAAAGAATCTTACACCAATACTTATGATAACTCTGAAATCCTCCATGCCTTCTTTGCCGTAGTCCATTTCTGATTAGATGAAGAAAAAGAAGAATTTGATTTTTCAGGGTTCCTTAGGGTGTATAAATCGTATGGGCTGGGCTAAAATCTAATAAGAAATTGGCAATCTTAAATTTGGGTTTTATTTGGAAAATAGAATGTGCCCATTTAGCCAAAATCAGAAATCCCAAATTCCAAATTCCAAAATCAACTTAATAACTGGTTTTGGGCCAAAATATCACAATTGTATTTTTTTTAAAATTGCTCCAAACTTTTGTATTTTATAAAAGAGCAAGCCATTTCATGTTGTTCCAAAACAAATTGGGTAATATATTTTGAAAACTGATGTCCAAACATATTTCCATCTTCAATCCAAACTTCACCCAAATCAAAATTTTCAAAATAAATTTGGGAATCTATGGCCGAACGCTAGCTAATTTTGAGTCATTAGATTATATAAAAGGTCTTTCTTCCAGAATTAGAAGAAGAGAAAAATTAATTTCTAATTTATAGTTTACTAAATCAATTTTCAAGTTTAACAAAAAGCATATTTTTAAAAAATCTGATATTACATGAAATATTTTTTTAAATGTAAAAAAAGTTATTTTGAAATGGTATATTTTCTAAATTATAGTGCCATTTTAAAAAATAAAAGAATTAAGACATTTATGAAGTTAGTTAAAAATATTGAATTATTATGAGAGAAGTAATATCGTGGATAAAATCAAGTGATAGAAATCTCAGGGGATCTTTACATGAAATATGTGGGGTGTTTTATCTTTATAGCTGATATACTTATATGACACCCTTACATTTATTTTATAAAACTTATACAGTAGAAAAAAATAACCTTATTTAAGACAACAAATAGCTAATTGATTGTGCTATCATCTCAAACAAGAAAAAAAAATGAACGTGCAAAATATAATAGTTTATGACTTATTTAAACTTATTTGTAGAAAATAACCTCAATCAAATAACAAACATATATAACTACTACTAGGTGGGGATAGCCGTGCTAGCACGGGCCCAACGTTGCAAAAGTTAGAATTATTATTTTTTTATTAACTTTATTTTCATATGAAATTTGAAAATCGATGCATTTGGAACAAAAATTCCACTCGATGTTGTAAGGTTGGCAAATGATATACTCTTTACATCTATGGTAGTAAAAAGTATCAGATTCTTTGTATCATGTATAGGAGAACCATTTACATTTTATACTATTTACATATTGGCTGTCAGAATTATGGGTGTTTATCGGGCGGGTTGGGACGGACTGAACGGGAAAAATCCCAGCCCGTTCGGTTAGCGGGCGGGCTGTTAGCGGGCTGGGGATAACGGGTTGTTATAGGGCTGAGATTTTTTGGGTTTTTGTGGGCCCGTACGGGTTAGGGCTCACACGGGCTCGGGCGGGCCGGGCTCAATTTTTTTTTTTTTAATTTAAATTTTATTTTTCTTATTCAATGTTATTGATAGTTAAGTATTTGCAAAGTTTTAAGGGTTAGAATTAAACTTTGAAGTTTAAAGTTTAAAGTTTTAAATTTGAAATTTGTATTTTATAATTATAAAATTGAAATTGGAAAGTAAGTGGCTACAAAAAATTATTTAATAAGAGTATAAGACCAATAGGCAAATGTAAGGAACAAACTCCGAAGGCTTTCATTTATATTTTTAATATTTCAA